AAGTGCAAGGACCCAAGTTTGATCCCCAGTACCCCCCAAAATAAAAAATTTTAAAAAAGGCTGGAGATGTAGTTCAAGTTCAATCCCTAGTAACACACACACACACACACACACACACACACCTACCTTACCTTTTTGCCAGCAACTCTCATTGATCCACATTCTTGCCACCGTTTAATATTACCATTTTTCAATTTGGGCAAAAATTATGGGTATATAGTAGTGGATCAGTGTGTTTTAGTTCAAATTTCTCTTGTTCCTTATGAACGAATGCCTTCTATTTAAATTTTGGACACTGACTGCTTGGCACCATTGATTGAGCAATCCTTCCTGTCCCCCTAATTCTGCAGTGAATAAATCATGAATGAGGGTAGGTTGGCTTGTTTGGGGGCTGTCTATTCTGTTTAGTGAATTCACTTATTTATGCAGGACCCACACCACCAGTCTTTATTCTTACAGTTTTGTAATAATTATGGAGTTTTGGTGGACAAGACCTATACTTTTTTTATGTTATGCTTTAAAACAGTCTTGGCAGACTTTTTTGGCTTTTAACACTTCCATATATTTTATTCAATCTGGAATTTCAGGAAAAAATTCCTGTTGGGATTTTAATTGATTATATGAAATTTGCAGTGACTTTAGTTCCAACTGAGATATCTATGAACATGGTATATCTATCAAGAATGTTTTGTTATTGATTTCTAATATATTTGCATTGTGAGTAGGGAGTATATATAATTTATATCTTTTGTAATTTTATGATATTCACTTTTGGGCCCAGTATTTTATCCATGCTGTAAATGTTTCACCCTTCCAATTTGGATGTAATCTATTGATGGATTGATCAATTGATTGAGATACTGAGGATTGAACCCAGGGTCCTCCAACTGAGCTACATCCCTATTCCTTTCTTTAACTTTTTACTTTGAGACAGTCTCTCTTTAAATCAAGTTGCCCAAGCTGGGCTTGAACTTGAGATCCTCCTGCCTCAGCCTCCCGGGTGCCAAGATTACAGGCATGCACTACCATACTTTTCCCTGCCTAACTTCTCTGGTTAGAACTTCCAGAAATCATGTTACTTACATTCAATGGACTCTGCTTTCCCTTGGTACAAACATCAAAACCACAAACAGGATCTACTCAGTACTGCATGATCTGACTCTGCCTGCATCATCTTGTCTTGTGTCACTTATCATGGTCTAGAAACATTAACAATCTTTCAGTCCCTCGTAATCCCAACCTTCTAGCTATACCAGGGAACACCTGTCTCTCCCACGAGACCGTAACCTCCACAAGGGAAAGGACTTCAGTGCCCTTTTAACCATCAAATGCACAAGAACCCAAAACAATACTGGTGAGATAGATGACATCTCATTGTGTTGCTGTGGAATATTATTAGATAAATATGAGAATAATTAAAAACCTAAACTAGGGGCTGGGGATTTAGCTCAGTGGTTCCGCCACCTGCCTCGCAAGCGCAAGGATCCAAGTTCGATCCCGGGTACCAAAAAAAAAAAACCTAAACTAAAAGCTGGATGCGAGATTTGGACATTGAAATTCTTAAAAATGAAGAACAAATAGGACTTGATGAATGATTAGACTTTAAGACCCAGAGAGACATCAGATTTGACAAAGGGCTTCTCCATGAAAAGCTGGGGTGGGGGATAAAATATTGGAAAGTCACTTAAATGATAGCTAGCTGGTTTGGGGGAATGAGGGAAGTTCAGAAAGTAGCAAGATTCGTGTAGATATTATAGCTTCATTTTATCCATATTGCATTCAAGGCAACAGTGAAATACTCAAAAATGTTGATTGGCCTTTGGAAGTGTGGAACCACAGCTCAGGACACTAACAGGTCTTAGACAAAAGCATTCATAGAAGTGAACGAATTCCCCACAAGGTAGGCCGTAAAGAAAAGCAGATGAAGGCTGGGGATTTAGCTCAGTGCTGCCATGCCTGCCTCACAAGTGCAAGGTCTCCTGAGTTCCATCCCTGGTACCAAAAAAAAAAGCAGACAATAGGGACAGAATTTTAGAGAATACTTTTCCTTTACAAAGGGCAAGGAAAACATGAAGCAAACTAGTGAGCCAAGAATAATCAGAAAGAGAGAAAAAAACTGGATAATGTAGAAGGAAAACAGTTTTCAGAAGAGAACACTCAGAATATGAAAGTCAAATGCTGTACAGGTTTACAAGCAAAAAGGAGCTGTGTGTAGCTCAGTGGTAGAGCATTTGCCTAGTATGTTTGAGGCCCTGGGTTTGAACCCCACCACCACAAAAAATAAAAAAGGAAAAAAGGAAGCAAACTGAAAAGGACTTTGGATGGATAGTAGTGACATCCATGGGGAGAGGCATTAGAGTTTAGGAAGAAAAACCTTGTGTCCTGAGGAACAAGCAGGAACAGGAACTTGTATTTGTACTGGAGGATGATACGCAGCCCCATGTTAACTTATGAAATCTGTCTCCCTCCCAACAGCCCTGAAGCCAGTGAATCTACATGTCACATATCAGGTGGGGCCCCTGATGGCCGTGGACACTACTCGGGGCATAGTGCTGCACTGGCGGGCTCACAGCTGGCCCCTGCGCTCTCTCCGCACACCAGTGGCCTCCCTGCACTCAGTGGTCAGGGAGCTGGCAGGCCTGGCTGGGGGTCCCCACACCGTGGTGGTGCTGGGCTTGGGAGCCCACTTCACCACCTTCCCTCCATCCATCTTTGTGCGACGCCTGGCAGGGATTCGGGCCGCTGTGACAGCCCTGCTGGCCCGGGAACCCAGTACTCTTGTGGTCATCAAATTGGCCAACACTGGCTACAAATCCGTGTATGGCAGCGACTGGTTCACCCTCCAGGTGAACCGGCTCCTTCGAGCTGCCTTTTCTGGTCTCCGTGTGGCCTTTGTGGACGCCTGGGAAATGACCTCCAGCCTGGCCCTGCCGGACAACATTCACCCGGGGAAGCTCATTGTCCGGAATGAGGTGGACCTACTCCTCTCCTTCATCTGTCCCACCTGAGTGCTTCTGTAGGCCCTGGGGCTGTGCTTATGAAGTGCCTGGGGCCTGGCCACAGGAATTCTGAGAAGGATGGAACAATGAACTAACAACGATTCAAAAAGAGTAGTGACTCAAGATTTACCACCAGGGTAAACTCTTAACATTTTGGTGACCATCTTTTCCTACATCTCTCTATGCACTACATAGATAAACATGTAATTTTACATAAATGAGATCATATTTTACATGCTTTCTTTTAAATTCCCTATTTTGGAGAAATTTTTATTGGTTAAATTGCACATGATATGGTTATAAGAAAAACTACAGAGATCCCTTGTGCTCTTCGCTCAATTCCTCCTGATGCCATCATTTTTTAAAACTACAGTTTAGCACCATAACCATGGATACAATCTACCAATCCTAGTCAGATTTCCCAGTTTTACTGTGCTCATTTGTTGTTTTGTTTTGGGGTGTGTGTGTGTGTGTGTGTGTGTGTGTGTGTGTGTTGCAGTACTGGAGACTGAGCCCAGAGCCTTTGGACAGAACTCCCCCCTACCAGTCCTTTTTAGTTTTTTATTTTGAGATTGGGTCTTGCTAAGGTTCTAATTTGTCCAGGCTGGGGTCAAACTTGCAATCCTGCTGCCTCGGCTTCCCCATGGAGCTGGGACTACAGATGTGTACCACCACACCCAGCTATTTTCTTGTATTTTGTTATAGGGAACAGGAACAGGGGATGTTACTAGAACCTCTACAGTAAGTCCTAGTCTCCTGTGACCCACGACAGCACTAGGCAAATTGACTTATTATACAGGAAAGGCAGAAAAAGTGAGACTTTGAGAAGCTGAGCTTTGGGCCTGATCAGTGCTGCTCTGGGCGGCAAAGACGAAAGCCCCCAGCTTACTGCACCTTTTATTCAGTACATCAGGAGAAACAGATGCAACAAATGACTTGCAGAGAGTTCAGTACATTGGGATAAACAAAGTGTAACAAAAGACTGGAGGGGGTGTGTGGAAATCCAAGAACAATGAGGAACTAGCAGATGAAGAATTTGTCCCTCCCAGGATGTCTCCCACTGGTACAATCTTGTCCTGGAGAATCACAGCATCACTGGACCATTGAGGTCTCAGTTGTGACCGGAGGCCAAAATGGAGTTATGTCTTGAAATGCCAAAGCTGGCCTGTAGGCGGGAGGAGTAGGCTAACCAAATGATTTTCCCCCAAACTGATGTAGAATTGCTCCGGACATTTTGTGGTTTTGGGGGCTGAGCCCAGGGTCTTGTGCATGCTAAGCCAGTGCTATACCACTGAGCTACATTCCCAGCTCCTATTGCACCCGTTTGTATATACTCAGGTTTATGCATCATCTTATGTATTAATTTGTGTTTAATTCTTTTACATCTATTTTGTAGCCTTGCAAAGGAAAAAAGACAAAGCCCAAGGATTTATCCAAACCAACAAGTGTGACGGGAAAGGCCTGGATTAACTGAGGTCTCAAAAGGAGTATTCTCTTGGTCCAAAGGTGATATACAAATAAATTTCTGGACCAAAAGGAGCACAAAGAAAAATATTTTGGGGGAAATATGGTATTATAAGAGGTAGGGGGAGTGTCCACTAAGAATTTATAGCCATAAGTCAATCTCCATGCTGGCTTTTAGCCTGAATTGGCCCTATATGGGGAATGCAAAAAGTCTCTAGTTCCAACTTAATTTTAGTGATCTTAGCCTCATATTACCTCGAGGCACCTGAAAGGATCAAATACCTTTGATTTATGGAGAAACCTATGATTTTTTATGATCTCAAAAATTTTCCACAGATAACAATACAAGGAAAAAGTGCTGCTCACGTTTACAAATCATGAAACACTAGAAACAAGGCAGCAAGGGTAAGAAACAGGCAAAAAAAGAAAAGTCAGAAGCATCAAACCTACAAAAACTCGAACTATTGGATCAACTAAGCAGGAATCTCAAAGAGCATCTCAAAAATATGAAATAATTATGATTAACCTGCCTTAATAAAAAAACATTAAAGCCATGTGTTATTGGGAATTGAACCCAGAACCTCATACATACTAGGTGAGCACTCTACCACTGAGCTACATCTCAGCCTTTTTTATTTATTTATTTATCTTTCTTTCTTTCTTTCTTTCTTTCTCTTTCTTTTTAAATTTTGAGACAGGCTCTTGCTAAGTTGCCCAGACTGACATCACACTTGTGATCACCATGCTTTAGCCTCCTGAATAGCTGAAATTACAAATGTAAGATGATCTTTTTTTTTATTGGTACTGGGGATCAAACTTGGGTCCTTGCGCTTGTGAGGCAGGCCACGGAAGCACTGAGCTAAATCTCTGGCCCTAAGATTATCTTTTAAAAGACAAAACAGTATTCCTAAAATGAGAAATACATTAATTATAATTAAAAATGAAATGGACGTTAAAAACCAAGCCATGATTGAAGAAAGAATTAGTGAATTAGAAGCAAGAGGAAATTTTTCAGTTTCACCCTACAGAGGGAAAAATACATAAAAATGTGAACAATGTTAGATGTCATTGGAGTCCAAGAATGGGGAGTGGGAGTTGGGGAACTAGGAACAGTCAGGGCAAAATGGAACTTTAAAAGTTAGAGAAGCTGGGCCGGGGATTTAGCTCAGTGGTTCCACCGCCTGCCTCACAAGCCCAAGGACCCGAGTTCAATCCCTGGAACCAGAAAACAAAAACAAAAACAAAACAAAAGTAGAAAGGTTTATTGGGGAACAGGAATAGCTCCTGACAGACAGGAGGGTCCTGAATGGGTTGCCACTGAAGCCCTTTGTCAGGGGTAATTTATACAGCAAGGTCATCATGTGGCTACAACGTGGATCAAACTATAATCAACCTACAGGGTTACAAGTACAGCCACTTAGCTAATATTGACCCAATAGGGAAGTGGGGCATGCAGCAAGGGTACATGGCTGGCATCACTAACCTTGGCTTATGTATGATGCCTAAAATAGGAACATTTTGGGGAAAGGATGGGTCCAGGTGTTCTGGTCACCCAGCCGGGTGTCTGATGCATATCTGGATTTAATAGAATGGGTTATACTAATTACAGTTCTGCTTATCCCTTAGGGAAGTATGTAAATTGGGCCACTGTGACTTTATCTTGAGACCTTGCCTTCTTCAGATGTGCCTCCAGCCACAATTCTGATGTCTTTATTCTTCACTGACTTCATTGAGAGCCCAGCCCTCTCTGACGGTATATTAATTTCTATCTAACTTAGCTTCCTATAATACTTCTGAGATAGGAGATTATGGCAGGGCAAGGCTGCCTGGGGAAGTAGGCATGACCTGTTAATTACAAAATTCCAGGACACACATGCAGAATAGTTTCTAAAAGCCCTGTGTGGTTTTCAGTAGAATGCCCTACATCTGACGTCAGCCTGAGGTATGGGATCCCAGCACCACCTCTCAGGATCCATATGTAGAAGTTCTCATGGGTTTCCTCAAGAGATTTGGATGGTATAAAAGAAAACAGAGGCCCAGGGATTTACCTCAGTTGCACCACACCTGCCTTGCAAGCGCAAGGTCCTGAGTTCGATCCCCAGTACCAAAAATAAGTAAATAAATAGATAGATAGATAGATAGATAGATAGATAGATAAAAGGAAACAGATGCCCAAAAGAGTTTACTATCATGGTTTTCCTCACGACAGCCCACTCTGTATTCTCCAGGGTGTTCTTTTATCTTGCTTTTTCCTCTTTTACTCAGCCCAAGCTTGCTCTGGAGAGCCAGTTTCTCCCTCTTCACTTTTGCTTTTTCAAATAAACTTTGCCACTGGTGTTTGCTCATTTTGTTCAATTCTTTATTTAAGACGAGAAGAACCTGGAATCTAACTCCAGAAGAGGTTAGCAACCCCAAACCCAGTAACGTTTACTTGATGAGCCACTTAGGAGGAGTTACCCGATAACACCTCCATCCCCTTGAAACTAGCTTCAAATAAAGCCTTCCTTCTCTTCACCATGTCTTCCATATTTCTGGTTTGGGGGGCAGTTGTAGTTAGCATATGGATCTGAGCCACTGGTAACAAGATTACATTTGAAGACATAATGTCCAAAAACATTCCAGAATTTATAAAAGATACCAATTTCTCTCTCTCTCTCCTCACTTTCTCTGATGCTGGGTACTGAGCCATGTCTCCAGTCCCTAGACACGTATTCTTAGGTTCAAAAAACTCAGTGAATCCCAAGAAAACTTATCAAAAACATTGCTATGTAAACATTTAATTTTTTAAAGATCTTAAAAAAAAAAAAACAGGTAAGGAAAAGAGTCAGGTTTCCTCCCAAGGAATAAGAGTTCGCCAACAGCTGACATCTCAAACAATTCAAGAGGCCAGAAGGAAGTGAAATTATGTTTACCACTGAAGTTCTACACCTTACAGAAATATTTTTATAGAACAAAGATATATTAGTTTGCTCAGGCTTCCATAAAAAAATACCATAAATGGCTGGGAGGATGATCTGGCTCTAACACGTGTCACTCCATTAATCCCCAGGGTTGATTTGGCTGATGTAGCTGGCTAGGCGGGTGTTCTCTTCCTCCCTCACCACTCCATGTGCGACCCTCCTGAAGCTATGTGCTTGGTTGAAGAAGATGACCAACCCCATCCCTGATAGAAGAGGACAGTTTCTTCAGTCAAGGGTATATGAGCAGCTGCACTCTCCTGCTAGACCCTTCACACAAGCTCTGAAAAATACCATAAACTAGCTGGGTCAAGCAACAAAAATGTAACCAGGTGTGGTGGTACACACCTATAATCCCAGCTCTAAAAGGCTGAGATAGGACAATCCCACATTCAAGGCCTGGCTAGGCAATTTAGGAATTTAACAAGAGTGTCTCAAAATAAAAAAGGAAAAAAAAAAAAAAA